GTAGAATTTGCCGTTAGAGTAGGAAACATTGCAATCCTTAGGAACATCCAAGCTTCTTTCTGCATACAATGCTCGCATGACTAGGGATAAAATTTTTGTAAAAATTTTTACAAAGTGCATTTGAGCTAAGAGTAACGAATTGGCTAGGCAATTTGCAATGGGCATTTCCACCAACTTGATTTTTAGCCATTAGGCCACAACCACTGTCCTCAGCTCATCCTTGTATTTTCCAGGAATGAATGACAGCCCTTAGATGACCACAGATCCCATAGATATACTAAAGAAGTACATAAATGAAAACGTATTGGCTGGCATTAGAACAGGAGAGTGCTTAGAGGGCAAGCTCATAGGCTTTGACGAACACCACAATGTTTTGCTAGAGCTAAACAGTGTGCCTAGATTTGTTCGTGGTGAAGTAATTGTTTATATTGGACAAAAAAATGAAGGAAAGCATTGATCAGATATTTCCAAAGCATCTTGGTTATTTTTAAGGAGTCATACAGGAATTAAATAGTAAATTAATGGGCGATTTTTATTGAAGTATGCTGGTTCTTTCATTTTGAATAGAACTAAACCGAAACAATATAAATTATAAGTGTAGGCAGCGTCACAAATTCTCGTTGGGTATTTTTACCTGTAAGTGATCTCAAGAATGTGATGATGAAGTAAGAGCACAGCTGTACATCAATGACAAGGAAGGAAAGTTGAGAAGGCAATGGCACGACCGTTCTTGTAAAAATTTTTATCAAATTTTTTGATAAGTTCTCTCTGATTTTCTACATCACAAAATGTCTGATTCAGTCATTATAGATAGCTTAGCTGATGCCAAGCTTGGTACGCACAATGCGGCTAACGAACAAGCAGGCATTGTTGGAAGATTCAAACGAGCCAAATGAGCAAGTTCCATTGGAAGACTCAGGCACATTCTCAGTACTTCATATGCTGTGATCAAGAAAGTAGTGGCCAGCGAGTCTTCAAAATACACAGCTCTGGAGAGATTATTCTTGTGGCAGCATTTGCATATTACTGCATTGGGTTATGGTGGTTCTACCCAGAGAATACCAAGATAGTAGTAAACACAGCCACGCCCACCACCTTCTGCTTTGTAAATGTGGACTATTGGTTGCAAATGATCGTGTACATTGCTATTGGGTATGGCACTATTTTAGTACAACCGATAGTGTTATTTTCCCTTGGAATCCTGGATGTGGTATCTGAGTACATACCTGACCACTATGAAGTTTCGTATACATGTTCGAAAAGAAGATGAGTTTTCTGGGAAGTATTGGGTTTATTGTTGTTAGTAACATATGCTGTAACAACCGAGTTATTTTTCATTATAGGTAGCGGTATTATCGGTGTTATAATTTCATACGGCATTGTCAAGCTTGTTTCCTTCATTACCTCAAAGGTATCAACAACTCGTCTTATAATTTTTGGCAACTGTCTCGTCGCAGCAGTGGCTCTCTTGCGAGCATATTTCACACCCTATCTTCTGGGGGGGGTACTCCCATTACTGAATACTTCCAAAGGAACAGAATGGATATTTCTCAATACAAAGACTTTTTTGCCGAGTTCGATGTTGACATTTCAAGAGTGTTTGTTGTAGATGGTATGCTTTCTGACAATGCGGCTAGCAATGCTGTTCCATTTAAATCTATAATGAGCATTATAATCGGCAAGGGCACTATCCAGAACAACAGCTTTGAAGCAGTCAAGGCTTTGCTGTTGCATGAGATAGAACATGCAAGACACTTTGATCTTTTATCCATCTTCGTTGCACCCTACATTATTGCATCCCTAGCAATGTGCTTTCTGGTGAAGAATATTAATAAGGATGAGAACAAGTCTGCACTAAAGCATTTTGTGACAGCATGCGCTCAGATCTCATTATTTTTCCTCATCGCTACCCTGGCGGGTAATCTCATTGCAAATATCTGCGAGTTTAATGCAGACAGGTTTGCATGCTCATATGCAGAGTCGTGTGCCGATCTATCTCAGGGTATTTTAGAAATAACTAAGAATAACAAAGCATTCATATACTAGTGTCTGTCATTCTCATTACTGTTCAACCATCCCTCTAACTTCCACAGGATGAGGCAGAACAACTACATGGTCAACGGGAGCGTAGAAATGACACCTGCGCTAGATGGCTGTCCCTTCTAGAGCCAGGACATCTGCAGAACTGTGGTTTATCTTTGCACAGACAATGAAATAAATTACATAGTTAGCAGTGTTATTTAATTTCCATACAGCCTGATAGCTT